GGGTTTAGGGTTTAGGGTGTGGGTAGCCAACTTTGCGATATTGCGGTTGTTATGCCGGGTCTTGAGCATTTGTCTGCATTGCTCGTGAGGTCGTAGAGGGGTAGTAGAGGGGCCTCTACAGTATCTTTACAGGACTACCGGCATGGAATGCCAGGTTCATTATCAGGATTCTACGGCAGAAGGTGTTTACCAATCTCCGACGCTTTGAGTGCATCCTTTAATCTCGCGTCGACAGGGTCTTCTGAAGGAACGCTGATGCATCGAAGCCTTCGTTTCGCCTGGCCAGGGCTTTAGGGTTTAGGGGTTTACGGGTTGAGGGTTTTGGGGTTTCGGGCTTAGGGTCTAGGCTTATGGTGCTCATGATGTAGACAAAGGTGCTGAGGTAGAAGGTGGCCGTCAGAAAGCAAGATGCGGATCCCAGGCTGGTTCTTGTCCAAGATTCCTGCTCTCGATGCGGTTCTAGCATCGTATGTAAAGCTGTCTTCGCCACATGCGTTTGGAGAGTAGAATTGTAATCCCGAGCCCCCCCGCAGGTGAAAGCCTGTAGTGTCGCTGTTAGTGGAGGGAAGCATGAAGCCCAAAGCCTAAATCCCCAACTTCATGCCTTGAACCCACCACCATACGCTGAAGCCCTGAAGCTCCAAGAAACTCAAGCCGTACGTAAATGTAAATAAGCGAGTTTTAAAGCCCTGAAGCTTCATAGGGCCTGTTCTGCCGGTGAAGCCGGAAGCATAGGACCCTGGACCGCTCGTCTTGGATTTGTTGGGAAGACTTTAGGTAATGTAGAACCTAAAATAATTACCTATATTATTCTGGGGCTCCTTATTGGAAGTATGGTCTAATGGGCCCTGCCCCTTCACCCTAGACCCAAAACCCCTGACTTGGAGGCTCTTGAGTATCACCAGAAGTTGGCCAGCGAAGTGCTGACTGCAAGCGTCCAGTATGTGCTCACGAGTGAGCTCTCAGATGCTTATGGTTTCATCGCTTGGACGCCAATGACAACATCTTTAGGAAAGATGATGTCCGAGCGCACCTCTGAGACGGCTACCAGTCCCGAGAGTGCATGTGTCACCATGTGCGGTGTCTGAATGAGGCTATCCCCGCTGCTGAAATCGGCATCCCCGCTACTGAAATCGGCATTCCCGCCACTGAAGTGGGGGTTTCTTATTTAAATTTAATAGATATTTCTACTAATGAAATAGGTATTTCCGTGGTTGAAACTAGCATTCCCTGCTTTTGAAATAGGTATTTCAGAAAAGAACTAGGGATATCAGAGGTTTCACCCAGACCCAAAACCCTATAAACCCTAAACCCCCTCATTATCGTCATGGAACCTGCCGTGTGCAACACTCCGAGCTATGGCATCCTAGGGTTTAGGGTTTTAGGGTTTAGAGTTTAGGGCTTAGGGTTTAGGGTTTAGGGTTTGGGGGTTTATAGGGGTTTATAGGTTTATGGAGGTTTTTAGGGGTTTAGGGATCAGCGTTTTGGGTTTATAGGGTTTAGGGTTTAGGACTTAGGGTGTAGGGTTATAGGCTTTATAAAACTCAAACCCCAAAATCCGCGATTTGTCAGCCTGATGCCCCGTCCATCGTCGGGCTCCGCATCGTGAAGGGCGCCAAAGGAGATGGCGTGGCACCGACTTCATTTGAGCCCAGTGGGCCTCCGGGGTTGGGGGTTTGGGTTGAGGCTTTGGGGTTTATGGAGTTTGGGGTTTGGGATTTATAGGGTTTGGGGTTTGGGATTTATAGGTTTTAGGGTTTGGGATTTATAGGTTTTAGGGTTTGGGGTTTATGTAGGGCCAGGAATCCGAAAGTTCGAAGACATCTGCCCAAATCTTGAACATCAAGACACCCCCCTGAAAAGACCCATTGGCAGGGGGGAAAGGGGTCCAGTATGGGGTTCGGGGTTGGAGGGTCAGGGGTGCTGAGGCTTTAGTGTTTAGGACTCAGGGTTTAGGGCTTGAGGGTTTAGGGCTTAGGGTTTAGGGCTTTAGGGCTTCAGGAGGGTTTAGGTGAGGGGACCTTGCTTGTTATTTTGATTCGGATTCGCTCAGAGAGCCGCTGAAGTTTAGAGTTAAGGGGATATGCGGCCCCTTTAGGCCTTAAGGGGACCACCGGGCTCTCATCTTTCGGATGAGATCGCACCCACAGAATAGTTCATGTAGCGTGTGGGTCTTCGCGCAATTTATCCTAAACCCTAAACCTGAAAAACAATTATTCTATACCTAAAGTATCCCATTGTAGTTTCTTTTTGGGGTTCTCTTATAGGATCCTAAATATAAAGATGGTTTGTACCAAACAAACGAACTATAATGGAGACTATAGGTAATCCCTAAACTCTAAATACCATTGTTATTGAGGAAATTGAAACTTGATAGTACGTCCATTGGGTAAGAAGGACGGCTCAGGCTTTAGGGCGAAGGACGCACTAGACCGCCAAACCATCCTAAACCCGCTGCAAGAAACCTAAGCCAACACCCTTTGAAACCTCATAGACCCCACGCCTAAGCCCCAAAAAACCCAGGCCTAAACCCCTAAAGCCTTCGAAAGCTCTGGAAGCCCTGAATCTTGTCGTAGCCAGGATGCCAGCGCCCGTGGCGGGGCCGGAAGGCGGCGTATCGGGAATACCTCCAAAAACCCTAAGCTTCATAATCTTCGACAGTCCGTAAACTCCCACGACCCTCCAATATCCCTTACTAAGGAATATGGGCAGTTCTCTAAATTAGGGTCCCTTTTCAGGTCCTTTGTATAAGGGTGCCGTACTATATTGGACCCCCAAAGAGGGACCCGAATTTAGAGAACCACCCATATACCTTGCAGAAGGGATCCCACGATAATTTAAGGTATATTCCTTAATTAAAGGATCTT